CTCGTCAGTGATGTCTTCTCTCCGAAAACGTGACAAGAAGGGACATTTGAATATTCAGGCAAAAGAAATTGTCCTTATCGTTTATTAGAGCGAAATTTGGAGCATCCTGAAATCAAAATTCATGATATTGGAAGACGTGTAGCGAACAAAACAGGCTTATGTTCTAAGATAATTTTACACATTATTGAATAATATAAAAGAAAATTGTATCCACCGCACAAGGGGCTGCATTACACAAAGCTGTTGGATACAGATGATAACTTTGATCGGAATGATATCAGACGGAAAGCCCATCTTCAATTTTTTTAAAGGCAGGAACATCCGACCATAGATAAAGTATTATAGGAGGTCAACAGTGATAAAGAATTACCTACTTTCAAAAGGACCACATTCTATAGTTTTCCCAAATAACTTCACTTTTAGCAAAGAAAACAGGGCAGAAATAGTATTTTGATGGACAGCAAGGAGATTATTTTATGGAGAAGAAGTTATTTAAAATCAATAAAGAAATACCGCGACCAGGGCAGGAAGATTTATTGCTTGGATGAAACCTGGAAGACTGCAAGACATACAAAACATAAAGTATGTGCTGACTGCACAATTAAATCAGCAAGACAAGCCTAACCACTAAGCTAAAGAATCCGTCAGGTACGCGTATCTAAGCAATTTGTCATTTGTGCTGTAAAAATAGTGTCTAGTAGACTGGATCTATGAGCCCACGCTAAAAACTTAGCTATATCTGGTAGATTTGTAACCAACACCTGTTAGATACTCTGCTTGTATTATTATTAGTTTTCTTGAATACTATATGGAATAAGTATTTCCAGGAAAAGGAAAACGACCAGTTATCTGTCAGATTGGCGGTGAAGGTGCCTTTGTGCACCCTGCCCTATGGGCATTTGAGTCAAACAAAACGACCAGTCAGTTGAACGATGGCGCTCCCAAACTTTGACAACAATCCTGTCATTGTACGTGATAATGCTGCATACCACACTAGAAAACTAGGAAAAACCCCCACAATGTCCACAAGAAAGGCAGAAAATCAACAATAGCTCCTATCAGAAGACATTAGTTTCAATGAAAATATGGTCAAAGCAGAACTTATCCATCTAGTCAGGCAGCACAAATGTAAATATACCTGTAATGTTAATGTTATTGACGAAATGGCTAAAAACTAAAATTAGGGCTAATTTCACCAACAACAGTCCGTTATTCTCCACCTATAGGGTAAAAGCCCGTCAAATACAGCGAATGAGCTTCAAGTTCCAATCAACAAATTTTAGCAACCAATAGCTGTGAAATATTGAAAACAAAATAATGTCAAAGTATGAGATGACATCTTGTCATTGAAACATCATCAGCTTATTGAATAGTAAGAAATTACATATAATTCAGTTAAAATTTAAACAAATGTTTGATTTTTGAATAAAATTCATGATTTAATTACTATTGTTGATTTTTTATTCATGTTTATATCATTTTCTTCAATTGATATGCGATTTTACTGATTCAAGATCATCTACTGGGTGTTTTTTCCTATAAAACCCTTGCAGATAGCCATTAATGATGACTGGCTCTACCAAAAAGTTCATAGATATTGCTCGTTTCCAAACATTCATTCATTTACTTGCCGTTCATCAGAACCATTGTGGCACCTTAGATTGATATTCCCACAAAACCATTCTGATTTTTTAATATCCATACATCCATAAAGTTGAATATTTTTCGTTGTTCAGGAACTTATATTCACAGCGATTAAGAAATACCCAAATATATGTCGTAGAGCTACCAGCAAACCTAAAACCTGCAGAAAAACTAGAAATTCGCAACATTTTTCTTTTTTCACTGAGTATTATATTCTGGGTTATATTCATATTAGACGTTATTTGAATCACAAAACATATACACTGATTTGAATAACAGCTGATTATCTCCTGATATTTTAAAACTAATCGTATCGACAAGTGACACGTAATTCTGTGGGATTCGTCAACACTTCGTCCAAGTGGAGCAAACTCTGCCAACTGTCGAAATAAACCTTATTACTTCTTATTTTTGTTTTACTGTGCCTGCTTAAATATTCAAATACGGCCAGGACTTATTAGCGCCTGGCTATTTTAGGCCTTCAATAACTCCTTTTTTTAGATCTCTCCCTATTTTGTTTTTTCCACGCATTCATGGTAGAAAGAAAAATATTTTATCGAATATCGATACAGTATACCGTGCAGCAGGCACGCCCATCACTATTTTGATAGATTGCAGAATGATGTCAAGGTGACAATCGTTATGTGATAGTTGTTTTTGTTTTTGTCTGAAATAGGTAAGTAGGCTTTGTGTATTCATTTTCATTTTTATAGCGTTTCCAGAATTTCATATTTCGAAACGATGTCAAGGGCCGGTAGGGGAAAATCTTTCTCTGCGAACTGAAAATCATTAAACGCGCTGTTTTCAGTCTATTTTATTCTATCCCTTGGGGAAGTACAAAATGAAGAAAAGACTACAGTGCTCAGTGGCCACTCAGTGGCTCAGTGCTCGTCTGTAATGATAATATTCAAATACTACTAAACACCTAAATAGCTTTCTGGCCTTTCAATTTCGAAGCTACCAGTCCTCGCTTAGGGATGGTAGCACAGTTAAGGATAGACTCGGGGTATACGGTTACGGATGTTTATGATTCCTTTCGATATCGATATATCGTCATGAAGCCATCGATGCGTAAAGATCGATGTTCTACGTCCGATGTATCGATGTTTTCGATACATCAATGTATCGTCTATCGTCGCCATCCCTGTATTGTATCCCCACCAGTCACCAGTCAAAAACCTTAACCACCAATATTTTATCACTATTTATAATTCCTTTTAGCTCTTACTTTTCAGTAATTACTAATAATTTTAGGTCTATCTCTACAGTAATTGCATTATGCACCTCGGAGATGTAGGGATTAACATGTTTTACACATATCGGTGTTTTAGGATGGGGACGACCATACTGTTTTGATTGCTTTGAAGAAATTCATTAACCCATGAATTTATAATATGATGCAGATCCGCACAATTCAACAGGTATGTGTAGCTATAATGATCACATATACACAGTATATTGAACTTTACAAATTTCGAGATGGCCATGAATTAACAAACGACCAAACCTGCTGCCAAATTTAACAGCTAGAAAATCGACGTATTATTTCTTCCATTCCCATTCGCTGAGGGGATGATGGATGGTCAAATGTACACCTATAACATAAATCAAAATACATGAAAGTTGTCCTGTTTTCTCTGTATAAAAGCATCATGTTCGAATCAAAAAGTGGTCTTGTTTATAATACAGTCGAATTTTCACGATTTTATTCAACATTTTAATAGAAATCACTGATATTCTGAGACCTTTGACAGCTTCCGTCAAATTGCATTCCGATAAGGTATTTTCCTGTTGGTCCGTAATATTAATGTTGGTGAAATCGTCCCTAAGACTGTTTTAAGGCTTTTGTGACGTGAAAAATTTGTTTTTTGCAGCTGTCAACAGAGTCGCGGCAACAGTTGGAAGGATTGCATCCGTCACGTTCAGGAGACAATCGAAACAAAGATGTAGGATCTGCACAATATGATCGATACTCAAATTAAACCTGTAGTAATTAATATTAACCATTCGGACGATGATTCAAGTACTTCCGGCGAATAAAGAATTGTGAAAAGCATGTGCACTTCTTTCTATAAAAATAATTATTTATTTTGTTAGACTACTCCAAGACCATTGACGAAAATACGGACCTGTACAAAGTCGCTTTTGGGAATGTTGTATTCGTCAGGGAGTAAATGGACTAGAAATGGGGTTTAGGCTCTTCATGTTCCTAACATTACTTTACACATTAAGTCAATGTCAAAAAATATAGCCGGGCTAGAAAAATATTGCCCGTTTAGAAGCGCCATAGGGAAAACAAACTTTTTGTTGGGAGCCGTGTAATCGAAGTATTCGCTACTACAGCAGCCCAGAAACAGCACTCAATTTAATACTTGCGTTTCAATTTACATCCGATTCAGTGGAAGACGTTCTATACACTGAAAACAAAATTTACGAGAGAGAAGTGTATATAGACACATATACAAAGAAATAGAAACTAGCTGGCTAGCAAAGCTCATCACTGCGTTGACTAGCAATGCTGTCGCGGCAATCTGCCGCGTTGACAATATAATAATAATGATGTTTATTGGTCCAATTACAAAGTTTTCGAAAAAATAGTAGCGGCAATGTCCAATAAACATAATATACCCAAAAAAGTGTTCCTTGAATTGAGATGCGTGTTCAAAAAAAAAAAAGTTATAAAATATAAGTTAGCTTAGCCTCTACACAGTTTTCCCGCTTTCTTTTCGTACACATTGAACTCAAGCCTTCAAACAAATTTGGTTTTCCCTGTATATACGTTGTGTCGCCAGACCAGCACCTCTCGCCAATATATCTTGTAATCCAGCATGTATCGTCGCTTCTGGTTTAAAAAATATGTTAATGAAATTCTTCGCATAATCTGATTAAAAATAGATCCTTTCAACAGATCTGCATGTTTTCATGCCCAAAATCGCATGAAAAATTGTATTAATGATTTTTTAATCAAATCTCACTTTTTTTTCGGTACGGATATGTTCTTCTTCGTAGTAGAATATTTATTTTTTGAACTATAAATCGTATGGAGTTAGATTTGTAAATAAACCAAACATAATCTGGTTGATGACATAATTTTGTGGAAACTACAGGAAAACCTTCTTCGCGCTATTTTTGTACTCTTAATCTTATATTAGCCTTTAGTCATAATATCCGTGCAACAAGTTGGCTCAGTAATGGCCAATCTGAAGAAATTCCACATCAATCTAGACATCTAGAGTGTATAATATAATATTAACAATAATACCTCAACTTGGGTGCTTTTGGAAAAAAAACTTCATCAGAATTACACGACATACCCACGTATCTGCCATTACTCTTCTGACACATTCAAATTCTCCCTACAGTCTGTTACGTCTCAGGCTTGCTCATATTACAAACGTGACGTTGTTTCAAAGATGTCTCAGATCGCATTCGATATCCTTAAAGAAAAACGGAACGCATAAGCCCGACTCGTAACGACAAGACGTCTATTTGGTGTCTTATTTTTGCAGAAGACCGCATCAGAGATGTGCAAACAAAAAGAGGTAAGTGGCTATTAGGAGTAAGGGCCGCTTAGAAACCTTAAAAGCAGCCGTTGCTGTACTAAGTACAGGAAAATTGCTCGGGTGATATCGGGTGTCGTTATACCACGGCCGAGGAAAAGCTACACTGATACTACGATCTGCGATGTGTTTGGTTTTTGCAGAACTAACCCAGATATACCCCAATAATGATCCCCAGAGTTCAAACAAAGGCGGGAGACTTCATATAAACTTATAGAGCAGGCATAGAGGGAAGTCTTGTGTAAATAATCCGAATGTATTGTGTTATAGTCGGGTACTAATACGGAAAGCAACATAACACATTGCATACCACTGCTAACGCTGTATATATTTGAATAAGGCGAGTTTTCCGATGCAACAGAAGTGGCCCACGACGTGTTATGGCACTCTTTTACGTTTTGGTGCCTGAGTAAAGCTGAGATTAGCCTAGTCATTTTACTTCCTATTATATAACAATGGAAATGAGATACTATGCCACGTCTTTTTTATCAATAAAAGGAAGTGGTGGTGTGTTTTCTCCTTCCTTTTTTTCTGACTAAGTAATAAAGTAGTTGAACACGATAAATGTACTCAGTGACATTAGAAGTGTGACACCCAGAAAAACAATTTCTTCAACTCTGATTTTTTGGCAATGAGGTAGCCGTACCTCAAGAGCGAAATAATAACATCACGAAAGTTTATTGACAAGTAATAAGAAAAAGAATTAAAAATGTGTTGGCCGACCCCGCAGCTGAATACACTCCTGTACTGGTCTGGGCATCTGATTGTGGCACCTCATTCCAAACAACTTAAACTTAGCTCAGATTAAAATCAGTGACCATCAGTGGACAGTGATTTAAGGAACATCGCAAGGGAGGCTGCCTGACTCATATTCAAAATTTACGGTGTAAAAAATCCCTAGAAAGAAAAGGACTGCTTTAAAATCTACTCTCATTGTGAGACAAAACTACTCATTAGAACACTCGAACTTGAAAAACCATGTACATTTTCACAAGAAAATGAAAGCAAAGGCAAAAGAAAAGAAAAATGCCCTAAAGTGATAAATACATCATCAAAATCTATTTCTTGTCCTAGAAAGCTGATGATCAATGCAACGGAGTAAGCTCAATAGAAGGAGGCAATGTAGGCACTGCCCCACATTTGGACACGAAAAATGCCAAGCAAAATCAAAGACTCTAAGAATTTCACTCAACATTAATCAATATATATTTATAAATATCTATAAAAGAGTTAATTGAAATGATATGTTCCCATCATAGTTTTTTTTTCAAGAAAAAGGGGTGGTTTCTTATCGGAATCAGCTAAAAAACAGCTACAAGGTAGCTACAAAGCTCGAGGAGTGCAGATTGAGGTTTTTCTCAATGCCATCCCACTAAAAGGAAGGAAATATTCAGAAAACTTCTTCTGGACATGCATTAATGCACGTAGTCACATGGTATAAAGAATAGCTTGCCGCTGAAGAGGTTAAGATCCCATAAAAATGAAGAGAGTAGAACCCAACCCAAAACAAACAACTAAACGTGAGGTAGATACAAAAAAGGTGTTACTCCATTAACTGGTGATTGGGGCCCAATGTTCCGAAATCTGGAAACGAAACGAAGGATTCACATAACCAAAACTTCGACAGTCAATGTCAAAGGTAAGAGGTAGCTGGCTGCCTATGGACGGACCCTAAAAAACAACTTTACGAGGAACCAACGATATTTTATGAAAACTTTCTGGGATAGTCGTTAATTAAATATTATAACTTTAGTGTCCAAATGATTTCAACACAATACTGAAATTTGCCAAAAGAAAATCGTTGAAAAGGGTTTGGCCGAAAGTCAAATTACTGGTAAGTGATCAAAATAGTAAATAAAAGGTTATGTTATTTTGGCACGTTACAACTATACATAAAGATAACAATATTAAGCAAGCAATGATTTATCGCCCAATTTTGGATTTTTTCTAGAATTCCACGAGATTGAGCAAAACTCAAGAACGCTTCGGCTTTGTACTATGTAACTCAACGTGTTCCAGATGGGATGTACCTTAACAGGATGGTATCGACTATTCAAATACCCTGTATCTAGCTGCACTAGATCCAAATGTTTCAATAAAGCAATATTAGTGATCTATATTGATGAAACAGCAAAGCAAAGCAATTATCGTGGTGAAACTACCAAACAAACAAAGCATATTCATTTACCTGGTATCCAGTGGATATGTGTGCGCGATATAAAATATATTGCACTCGAGGTTAAATTTATGTGACTGATTTATTTGTAAATCCATTACAAATCCGTTGTTTAATGAGAATCAAACAATATCGCAATTGCGTTAATGCCACTACCTATTGCAATTCATCGGCTATTCGACTTCATAGTAGTTTTTCGGGCCACGAGACCATGTTGTAAATGTAGTCAATAAAGTTTGAATGATTTAGGAATAAACGTGCGGTCTACCTAAGCATAATACATAAATGGGTTGGATCATGCTAACGACGACATTCCAGTAAGGACAGCGGATATCTTTGCCGTCCAATCGAAGAGCCTAGTATCAACAAAAAACAAAGTTTCTGGCAAAACCAATTTGACTTTTCCTATTTTGTATTTACCAGAGTAGTAAATATACCTAAATCAAGATAAAGGATCAATGTGTATGTATAACTCCTGTACCTGTCTCAAACGGTTTGTTCGTACAGTGGTTGGTAACTTGTTGGTGACTGTTACTAGTATCCGGCAGTGTGAATTTTACATATACCGTAGCAAAATGAGCCGAATTTTTGGGTCGAGATCTTTAACACGGTCACTGACAGGCTGGCGACTGCTGTACGAACTGGGATTTCAGCTTCATCATAGTTACAAAAATGTCATTTTTTATTACAGTATTCACCAAATAAACGCTGATGCAAAATACAAAATGTTTATCATCATTCTCTCACAGATCCTGCCATCGATCCTTCGCATGCGATATGATCATATTTTGATACTTTGAAATAGACAAAAATAACTACCAATTCCAAAATATAATTACCGAATTGAATTACATATGATACATCAGTCCCATACGATATTTGACGGATAGGCTGAAAAACAAGCTGTTTTAATCTTTTTAATCACAAGCTTCACAGAGTCGAATATTATATTCTAAAAAAACGAATCATCTAGTGAATATAAAATTACCAGATTGGCATTCGTAACTATTTTGCTGTTATTTTTATTATGCTGAACTAGAAGTATTTTGCCAAAATTGACTTTGCTTTGTCTAGAATCTCAACAACTAGACCTCACGGACTTACTGATCTAAAAGAATCTAACCCAACAGTACAGGCAATACTTATGGATACTCTACTTTTCAAAAATTGGAGTCAAGTAGGTTGACTCTGAGCGTAACGTCATCATCAGGATCATCTGCAGCACAAACTAGACCTTTTAGACAAATGTCGGTCAAACAGGTTTAGTCCATAAGCATTCTTTCCTTGTCCTACCGGTGGCCCATCTGGCAACATCGCCTCTCCCCGATTCCTAACCGGGTGAGATGTTGAGGCGCATCCACAGCATAGGAAACACTTATACGCGGCAGTAATATGGGTAATCCCAAAACACTCACCAAGGCAGTCGGCAGTCCGCCGGGAGCAAAAACAAACGCGGCCGGTGATTACGGGATCCTTCTGCTGAGAATATTTTATAAAATAAAGTCTTAAGGGCTAATGGACGGAAGAATCTATTATGTGCAAGATATAGGTAGTAATAATGACAGTGACCTGTCCAGTGAGATCAACAGAATGTGGCATATGAAAGCACAAATGGTACCCATAGTGATAGGAGCAACGGGAGCAACGTCCACCAACTTATTGGAACATCTAGATAAAATATAAAGAAACATCAACATGCCACAGCTTCAAACAGCAGTATATGGTACCGCACATATTATAGGAAAAGTATTAGGATGATGCTTGACCCTAGGGATGTGGTACATTCTTGATCACAGAAGGAAATAACAACGCCCAGCTACCACCATTCCAATCTGTGAAATGAAAAGATAATAATCATAGTAATAGGCGACGAGGTTTAGATACTAGATATATATATAGAGAGAGAAAGAGAGAATGATCATGCGGAGAAAGGTATATAATAAAAAGTAGGAAAATAATGGTCCAAATCCGCCAAAAGGAGTAAAGTGGATTCCAGCATAAAATAGGATAGGTAACCCGAGCGATACGTATTTCTGCTGGTTGGCTTCGTCAGGCCCGAAATGAATGCACATATGCAACTACAAAGGTAGATACATATGCCCACACATCCGAATACGGGTGTAAGCTGAGGAAAAAACATAGGTATTTGTCTTTAAAGGGTTTAAAGACTATAGCTACTACTGAACTTTTTAATTTGGCCAAGAACCTGACTTATTCTGTTATTGACTGTTTCCAAGTCATTACTCCTAAATAAATAGAAAATCTGAGTATCGTCGGCCAAAAATTGTATGCTGCATGATTTTACCTGTTTCCAAATCTGAGACATATTATGGAAATAACAGGGGTCCTAACACCCGAACAAATTTTCTGTACGGTACTTTTGATTCAGATGAACCTTCTGAAACCGATTGTCAAGGTAGGCTTGAGTAAGCAGAAGAGGTTTTGCAGATAATTCATAGTATCTGCATTTAGACACAATAAGTGGATGATTAATTGTATCAAATTCTTAAGTGTTTTTTAGTTGTCAAGCGCCATTGTTATATAGCTGTATTATGACAATGTCGAAATTCAGATTGTTTAGATGGAATAATTTTGTTAGAATATGAGCATACGCAGAGCTGCTCGTAATCATCACGTTTCAATACTTTTGAGAAAATATGCAGAAAACTGATCGGTCTCAGTTCACCAGAGTGACTAGGATCAGAACACTTAGGTAGCGGAACAACTATAGCGTGTTTCCTCTAACCTGGTAAATATCTCCTCTCTAATAGGTGCGTGGAATTACCAAGGTTGGGAGCATATAAATATGCTGACATCACAAAATTGCGATATACCACTACCCCTAAAATTTTACCTCGAACACTTTTTTCAAGCGTGATTAGAATCCTCTCAAACGTCAAACAACGAAGTTTGGCCAAATGTACTATTTTTCGTTCTTGCCCTTTTCCTCCATCGCCACTGGACAGATTTAAAAAACTAAAAAGATTCTCTGACCCGTGGCATAGTATTAACATTGTGTAAGAATTTTATCAAAGTCCACGTGGTGCTTCTCAAGTTATAGGCGGTTATAGGATTAGCGGATAGACAGACAGACGGAAATGAGTGCATGATTTCTCGTGAAGTACATGTTATATCTCATTTTAGAAACTTTTCTTAATTATGATACTTCCCCGCCAATAGACATGGGCATTAAAAAAGCGTCAGCTTTATGAGCAAATGCAGATTTGCTTTTGTGATCGTTTTTGCTTGCTCTTAGTGTGCTACTATTAATTTATTTTTGAAAAATAAACGTTATTCGGAATAAAATACGTAGAAGTTCCTTGCGCCAATTTCCTATTTGCTACAAAGTTTCTCTAAATAATGTCCTTTTGTTTAGAGTGGAAACGCATTTTCTCTTGATTTACGATGCAATAAAGTGGGCTGAATTCACTCGCACTACTTTGTGTTAAATCAAACCCTACGAGAAGTATTGTCTTTTACTATTTACAGCTCTTGCACGTAGCACAAAATAAAATTAATTGGTAAGTGGATTCTGTACGGTGTCGACACATAGACACTAAAAAAAGAAGGAGTATCGAAACTCCAGGTTTCTGAACTATGGGTGTAGAAAAGGAGAAAACCTGATCGCTACTATTCCGGATAGCATTCAACAGAATTGTGATCACCAGAATGATCTCCAACGCCGGAGCACAAGCACCCTAATGAAAAGAGGCAGACGAGCGATGGCGGCCGATGTTTGTCTGTGTTCGCGTTGCTCTGATAATTTTGTTGTAAACACTAAGTTTGATGAGTGCAAAAACTGCAAAAAGTTATACCATCATGTGAGTGTTAACCTGAAGGATGATGCATATAAAGTGTTAACCAAAATTGATTGCATTTATTGGCTCTGTGGTGAATGTGAGCAAATTCTTGAAGACAAATTATCGAATTCTGGCATTCTGGCGCTACATCTTAAGGAAATTGAGTGTCTCAAGCGTGAAAAACAATTATATGAGGATATGGTAACTGAGATGCGATTATCAAATAACCTGCTTATATCTAAGGTTCAAGAATTGCAATCAAATTTGAATTCTCATTCTGCCAGTAAAAAGGATGTTGCTGTTTTTGTGCCAGGGTCAGGTGAGCAAAAAACGAGCAAAACATGTAGCAGTGTTTTGAAAAGGAATACAAGTAATGAGTCACCAGTTCTTCTTGTTAAAACAAAAAATGGGAAATCCCAACATGATGTCATGAAGATTCTAACTCAAGCTGTCAATCCTGCAGAATTTAATATTTGCATTAATGGAACTAAGAGAATAAAAAATGGAGCTGCTGTTTTTTGTAATGAAGCAGCAGACTCGGAAAAGTTGAAAAATATTGTTACGCCGAAATTAGGAAACAAATATATGTACCGTTGATCAGTTGCAAATGTTAAATCCTAGAATTATGATCCGTAATGTTAAGCTTGATGATCAAACGGATAGTTCGCTCATATATAACTTCATTTCTGCAAATGATTTGGATGGCTTTGATGCATGCATGATACCAAGATTGTTGTAAAGCTGAAGTCTGCTGTAAAGGATCATCATAATCTTGTTTTGGAGGTCTTACCGTCGCTGAGAAAACGCCTAGTTGATAAGGGATTTGCATATGTTGGCTGGAACATATGTAGTGTTGGTGATAACTTGATTGTCACGCAGTGAAGTTTGGTCATTATCAGCAGAACTGTCGAGGTTCCTTGACTTGCTGAAAGTGTTCTGAGGGTCATTCTGTAATGGATTGTAAATCAGATGAAGTGAAGTGCTGCAATTGTGTTATATATAATGATAAATATAAAGCTAAGCTACCTCTGAATCACTCTGCCACAGACAAGCAATGTCCTTTGTATCATGATTATCTTTCCTATTTGAAAAGTAGAATCAATTATGGCTAGTTCTTTAAAAAACATATCACTGGCGCATGTTAATGTACGTTCACCTTTACCACATTTTGGAACTTTGAAAACGCATGTGTTAAAGGAGAATTTTACTTTTCTGTTGCTTAGTGAAACTTGGTTATCTGGTACCGTATCAGACAGTGAAGTGGCTATTGAAGGATATAAAATACTTAGGAATGACAGGGCTTTAATATAAATTTATTGTCACAGGAAAGTGCTGATATTGAACAGTTGCATAACATACTATACAGTTATGAATTGTCTGAACTGGTTAATGAGCCAACTCGTTATAGTTGTAGGAACGAGTCTCTCTTAGATTTAATTATTGCATCTAATCAACTACAAACTGCCAAGGTTTCAGCGTATGACATAAATGTATCAGATCACCTGCTAACTGAGTGTCATTTTACTTTTAAGGATGTTGATCTTTGTCATAAATTTATTACGTATAGGGACTACAAGCATTTTAATTTGGATGTCTTTACTGCAGATCTGAACCAGATTGATTTTCACAGCACGTACTATACTTAAGGTATAGATGAAAAACTTCAGCTTTTCGATAGGTATATTTTGGATTTATTTGACAAACATGCACCTGTCCGTACTGTGAGAGTTACAAGGAGAAAAGCTCCCTGGCTTACGGAAAATCTCAAATTGATTTTTTCGTTAAGATATAAGGCTCTAGTTAAGTTTTAAAATAGAAAATGTAAAGAAAACTGGGAATCTTACAAAGATCTGAAAAATTTTGCTACCCGTGCTACTAAAAATGAGAAGAGGGCTTATCTTGGTATTGTTATGGGAAATTGTGATGCAAGAAAGAAATGGCGGGCTTTGAAATCGTTGGGCACGCTGAGGGACCACAGTTCAATTATACTTGAACATTTAAATAATGTTGAAAGACTTAGCGATTATTATTCATCTGAAATGACCTCAAGCGTAACCCCTGATTCTGAAACACTAAATAGATATTTAAATAGTAAAAAATATAATTTGAAGAGTGACTTCAACTTCACAATGACTTGTATAGATGAAGTTGCAGATACCTTAAAGTCAATCAAGTCAAAGCCCATTGGTGTTGATAATATTGGGATTGATATGTTATTATATTATTGTCCTCGTATTTTACCCGTAATAACTCGCCTAGTTAATACGTGTATTGAGTTTTCAGTGTTTCCTGATTCTTGGAAAATTTCTCATGTCCAAAAAATTACAGTCCCAATGAATTCAAGGATTTAAGACCAATAAGTATACTGCCCACTCTAAAGATATTGAGAAGATTCTTGAGCGGCAAATTCGTTATTACCTGAATACTAATAAGTACTTCCTAAACATCAGTCAGGATTCAGGCAAGGGTACAGCTGTGCTACTGCTCAGCTAAAGATTACTGATGACATAAAGAAGCAACTGATAAAAATGAGCTAACTGCTTTGATATTAATAGATTACTCGAAAGCTTTTGATAAGCTGAACCATCAGCTACTGCTTGCAGTATTGCATTTTATTGGGTTTTCTAATGAATCTGGGAAACTGATTCAAAATTATTTATCTAACCGTAAACAAATTGTTAAAATCAACAAGATTTTTTTCTGAACCTAAAACTCTCATCAGTGGTGTACCCCAAGGCTCTATTTTAGGGCCTCTCTTCTATATTATTTATACGTCACAGTTGCACGCATGCCTTAAGATCTGCTCTTTACATGCATATGCCGATGACACGCAAATATATACGTGTTTTAAACCAAAGCAGATCGTGCTAGCAGCAGCCAAAATTAATTCTGACTTACAGTCTTTGAGCATAGCCTCTAAAAACCATTACTTAGTCTTAAATCCGGATAAGTCAAAAGCTATCATTTTTGGTAGGAAAAAAGCACGGAATGATATTTCTAGTTCTATCAGCTTAGAGTTGGATGGTAAGCTTATACCTTTAGAAGATAGTGTCAAAAATCTTGGCGTCCTAATTGATAATGTCCTCCGTTTTCATGGCTACATCACAAATAAAATTAGGGCATCATTTCCTAAATTAAAACTAATTTATGGTCAAAGAAGGATATTGAGCCACAATTGGAAACGTACTCTGTGCGATTCTTTAGTCCTTTCTGCGTTTAATCAATGTGATGTTGTTTATCATTCCTGTATAACTAAAGCTGACAATGATCGAATTCAGCTCATGCAAAATTCATGCACGCGTCTGATTTGTGGAACTCCTAGAGGAGAACACATCAGTCACAAAATTAAGGAGATAAATTGGATGAAAATGTTTCAGCGCCGAATACTTCACTGTTTGATACTATATTATAAAGTGATGGTGAGTCTAGTACCACAGTATTTGTGTCGTAAAGTTCAATTGAGGGTTGAATCACATAATGTCAATGTGAGAAGCAAGAATTTGATAAGTCCTCCATGTCACATCACTTCTCAGTATGAACAATCTTTTTCATACTGTATTTATAAGTTGTATAATCAGTTACCTTCGGACCTTAAGTCTATGACACTGATATTTTTTAAAAAACACGCTAAGGCTAACGTTATTTCAAAATATTCTTTCTAATTTTAATAAGTTTTGATATTAGTTCAACTTGGTATTCTCAAGTTGTTGCTAGTTTATGTATGTATGTATTTATGTATGCATTTGAAATGCATGACCATGCTTTTTTACGCTTGGATACTTGCATGTAGGTATATTTTTTTCAAAACCTTTCTTTTTTTTTCTTTCTCTTTTTTCTTTTTCTTTTTCGGGAGTGAGTGGAAGAACACTATTTTTGTGAACTTCGCCTTTTGGATCATATGTCTATCTGTATAGAATATTTCCAATAAAGTCGATTATTATTATTATTTTAACTGCTCACTCACTACAGAATTACACATAGCTACTTCAAAATGTCAAAAAGACTATACCCTATTCGTAATCCATTTACGCCCCGGCACAACAAAGACCCAGCGCAGCAAAGCGGCAGCCGTCTAAGCATTGCAATAGCTATTCGGCCATAAAACTACGAACAAGAACTCAGGCTCGGGGTATCGCGGGCAGTTGCTGTTCATATTCGGTGCATACATAGCGTGTATTTATACGTTAGCATGTCGTCTACGGATACAGCAGATTAAACTGAGAATATTTCTCCCAATGCTTCGTTCAGCTATGCTTCCTCTTCAGTGATGTCTCCTCCCCAAAAACGTGACAAGAAGGGACGTTTATAAAAGCGAAATTTTGGAGCATCCTGAAATGAATATTGATGACATTGAAAGACGTGTCGCGAACAAAACAGGCTTATGTCCTAAGAAAACTTTCAAGATTGTTAAAATATATAAAAAAAATTGTCCAATTGTCAAAAAAGTTCATCAGTCTTTTGAAAGGCAGGAATTTTCCACCATAGACAAGGTATTATAGGAGGTTAATAGACTTACCTACTTTCAGAAGGACCACATTCTATAGTTTACTTAAAGAACTTCATTTTGAGTATAGAAAACGGGGCAGAAATAGTATTGTGCTGTACAGTCAAGATATTATTTTATGCAGACGAAATTATTTGAAATCAATAAAGAAATACCGCGACCAGGGCAGGAAGATTTATCTCTTGGATGCAACCAGGATAAATGCAGGACATACAAAACTTAAAATATGGACTGACTCTACAGTTAAATCAGCAAGACAAGCCTTCTTAGATGGACTAACCACTGGCCTAAAGAATCCGTCTGGTATGTCTATCTAACTAGTTCGTCATTTGTGTTGTAAGCTACACTAAACTTAGCTATATGAGGTAGATCTGGAACCAAGACCTGTTAGATCCTCTGCTTGTATTACTATTAGTTTCCTTGAATGCTATATGAAATAATTATTTCCTGGAAAAGGAAAGCGGCTTTTTATCTGTCCCACTGGCAGTGAAGATGGCTTTGTACACACTGGCCTATGAGCATTTGATCCAAGGAAAACACCGACTACCATAAAGAAATGAACGGCAGTTCATTTGAACGATGGCTTGAAGAAACGCTCCCAAAGCTTGACGGCAATGCCGTCATTGTACTTGATAATGCTGCACACCACATTAGACAACTAGAAAAAATTCCCAGAATGTCCACAAGAAACACAGACATTCAATAATGGCTTCTATCAAAAGACATTAGTTTCAATGAAAATATGGTCAAAGCAAAACTAGTCAGGCAGCACAAATATAAATACAATCTTGATGTTATTGACGAAATGGCTAAAAACCAAAATAGAACCGTTTCAAGGCCTTATCACTGCGAATTATATCCCATTGAAGTGATTAGGGGAAATATAAAAAACTACTACCATGAAGAAATGGATGGGAGTTCATTTGAACAATGCGATGGTTTGAAGAAGCGCTCTCAAAGCTTGACGCCAATGCCGGCATTGCACTTGATAATGCTGCATACCACACTAGAAAACTAGAAACAATTCCCACAATGTCCACAAGAAAGGCAGAAATTCAGTGGCTCCTATCAAAAGAGATTACTTTTAATGAAAATATGATCTAAGCAAAACTTATCCATCTAATCGGGCAGCACAAATACAAATATAATCTTAATTTAATGACGAAATAGCTGAAAACCAAAATAACACCGTTTAAAGGATACCCCATTATCACTGCGAACTATACCCCTCATTGATATGATTCGAGCAAATATAAAAAACTATGTGGTTTCAAACAATAAAACATTCAGACAGAGATGCGTGATCTGGACAATATGATCGATATTCATTTGAACCTGTAATAATTAATACTAACCAGTCGGACAATGATTCAGGTACAGCGAATAAAGAATTGTGAAAAGTCTGTGCACTTCTTTCTAAAAAAATAAGCATTTATTTTGTTAC